ACATCACTGTTATTATCAAAAATGATTAAAGATTATGAATGCAACAATGTTATGAGAAGTGATTGAAAAAACACTTCAAATGAGATAAAAAATTGCAAAAGCTTGACAGTGGCAGAATAGCAGTTTCAGGTAGTGCAAACGTTAAGTGGTTGTCAATCATTGATAGCGTTTCTTGCTCTCACGTCTGCGCAAGTACGTGGCATTTGGCATCAAGTTTGTGTCATTGAAGGTCCAGTAATTGACTCATCTTTATTGCACTGGATTTTCTTCAAAGGAATAATTTGTCAAGTACATATTTCCGCAACGCTTTGCCGATCATGACAGCTTTAACAAATTATATGCAGTGGTACGCAGTGAAGTGTTGGATAAAGTGATATATTATTTTTAAGTATTATTCAGGTTTTTGATCAAACAAAATTTATAGATAGATAATAGAAAATACCCTCCATTTTTTAATATTATTTTTGCTAAATTTTCCTACATTTCGGGTTACGAGATCACAAAATATGTTCTTGCAAGCTAATGTTAATGGTCACACACTTGTTAATGTAGCAAAATTGATCGTTTATGCAAGTTATACTGAATGAATTAATTAGTTGCGCGCTGTGTTTACATACATTATACTGTTCAGGGAGGCAAGATTTTCAAAATAGGACTGAGTTACAGAATCAATTTTGAACGGACCACATTCCGGAGGAAGCAAGCAAGAAAAGTCATGCATTGATTAGTCTATTGGGTTAGTGGGCTGTTGGTCGGTTGCTTGCTTGGCGGGATTCTTTTTATTTTGCTTTATTCTGAGCGGATTTTTTACTGAACTTGTTACTAGACATTCATTTTCATTTATTATAAGTCTTAATTATTATCGTTTCCATGTGTAATAATTACTTCATCTTCTAATATGGATAAAATGATGAGTGGATTTGATCATCGTTTAAAATGCATCTTTTTGGCTTTTTATTACTTTATTCTGCTCTCTATGCTTATCTGCTAATTCTGTTCGTTTTTTATAAAATGCGTAGAATTAACTTTACAGATACTATGATAATATATTCATTTGTTTTAGGTAATATTTCTCATCTCAACAGAGCCCTACAAACTTTTTTTCGAGAAATTTGCACGTGATTTATATGGGTCAATTGATTGGCCCAGTTCAAGTATGTTGCTTTTGTTGTTAATCGAATGGGACAGCATTCGATTACATTTCTTCTATTTACTTGATGGAGCGTGATGAAGCAACAAGGATGGCCTGCTTTCTGGAGAAAGCACTGATTACATTTTTGAAAGTGAAGGATGTAAATGTTGCAAGCATTAATTGGAATGGAGGTTTCTATGTTCAAACAAGAAGAAGCTCTTGATTGTTTAATGTGAAACTTCTTGGGAGCAGATTTATGGAAAAATCATTCAGTTTTTACTTAAATGGACGTCAGGAAGCATTTTATCATTTACATTTTTTGTTGTCGCTCACATATCAACGTTTTTGCCTTTTGTTATGTATTTATGAATCTAATTTTATCAAATATGTAATATCTGGTAATGTATAATTTCATTTATTAAAATGTATGAATCGTATTCATTTTATATATTTTGTTATGTATTTATGAATATGGACCTCATTGCATGTGCTGTTTACAATGTAACGTATATATGGACGTATGTTAATTATATAGTTGTACATATCTCACTTTCATTTATAGCTTAGTCCATATTATTTTTGTAACCTTTATTGCATTTTATCTGTACATTGAAACACTTTTTGATTGTTACATGTTAGAAATTTTACGTGTATATATAATCAAATTTACATTGCGGTTTGACTTACTGTTGAGAGTGGTTTTTTTTAATACTAATGTTTTTCCTGTGTTATAAATCCTTTTTTATGAAATAAAAAAGTATGAATTACTCTTCGCATGTTACTAGCTAATTATTAAAAATTATATTTTATTGCTGGAAGTGGTTTAAAATACCTTCAAAGAAATTGTGTCGTAAAATTATATTGCTAATGAAGGGGCATGTATCTTGCAGTTAATGTTAAATTGATGGTTTCGTCGCAATCATCAGTTTGTCCATGCGAAATTTCGTCGAGGTGGTTACTGTACTGTTTACTCACCGCTGTTGTAGAAAGAATCCTCACTATCTTTATATAAGCTCATTTTGTGAACTTTAGATGCTCTTCCAGAGGGATCTTCGTTTACCTGAAAAAGTTCTTAGTGCTTCTAAGAATAGAGAAATGAAATTCATAAATATTGGTGACTAAGAAGAAGTGTATAGTGAATGGATAAAAACTGATAATTTTCTTATAAATTTCTACCTGCCATTTTGGCACCCATTTCAGCACAGTTTTTGCTGCGTTACTACTTGGAAAATGTTGATGAAAAATTTTACGTATGAAAAACGCTTCTTTTGAATGTGGTGTATTCACTGGATACATTTCTGCTGCTGAAGCCATCTGCAATAACATTCTGACGAATAAATGGAATATTGCAAAATATAGAAGGCTGTGAATTTTTCAACTTTTTCATTAAATTATATGAATAGTACTACTAATTATTATGAGAAATGGATATGAGTAGTGTAAAACTTTTCATATTAAATTCATTTGAAAATTTCAAATTTCAAACTATAGATTTTATCACCAACAAGTAATTATAATCAAATTAACTTCTTCATCGGTCACACTTTTTATACAGTGCTGGATAAGATGGTCTATCCAGTTGTATCCTACTCCATCAGAAAATTGTTCTTTTTGACGCCACAAAATATCGCTTGGTAAATAAGGATCATCCTGAAGCATGCAATTAACTGATTATTTTTTAGGCTTCTCATGTAATATTTGAAGCAAATATATTTCTATAGAACTACAGAGCAAGAAGTAACAGAAGGATTTTAATTAACAAACAGGTGTATCAAAAGCAGAACGCAGAATCCACTTCTCTACATTTCTACCATTTTTTAATTTGGGTCTCTTATGGCTGGCGTGAATGCAAACAGCATTGTCGAGAAAAGTTTTGTCCAAAAATGGTACACGAACTTCGACACTATTTGCCATACAGGATTTATCGGCACGCAAGCAATCTGCTGTACTTAGTAATTGGATGCGTCGTATAGTTTCCTATTCAAAAAACCAAATATAATGAAAATCAAAATTCTAACAAAAATTCTAAAATTAAATAAAGATCATATAGCATGTAATCAATTTAATGTTCAAGTTTCTCATTTTAAAAGAGTGTAAAAAATTCAAAATTTTTAGAAATACAAACTTTTTGTAAAGATCTGTAATGTAAAATATAATGGGCAATTATCTTTTATAGATTGCAATGATCAGTTACAATATTTGAGACTATAGGTTGCATTATTATGAAAGCATAGCATAGTCAAGTTCAAATTCAAAATCTTAGAAATGAATTTATAAATCCTAGGCTAATAACAACAGTGATATGATGACAAAAATAAGAGTACAAAACTTGAGTAGATGTGTTATTTGCTTATCACAATTAAATACTTCTTAGCAAAGACCTTAGTGTCTGAATCAGATTACTACTTTAGTTGGGAAAAATTTCATCTCGAATAAAGCAAAAAGAGGTGGCAGGTGTTGATAATTATGTGCGCTATTAATATTATTATTATTCCTTCTTTTACCATTACCACTCTTAATTATATCATTATCATGATTAACTCATCATAAATGATAAGAAGGACGGATGCTGAATACTTCAAGTGTTGGTATTATTCTGTTCAATGTTTTCGTTAACCATCCAAGCTCTAAATATGTTGAAACACTTTTTAATTCTTAAAATTTCAAAATTTAACCTTTTGAAATTCTTCATCATTAGGTGCATTATGAAAATAGAGATAACCACCAAAAATTTCGTCTGCACCTTCACCAGAGAGTACAACTTTAACACCGAGATCGGCGATTTTCTTAGACATGAAATACATTGGTGTAGATGCTCGCACGGATGTCACATCATATGTTTCCAAATGCCATATAAGTTCCGATAAAATGTCAATTCCTTCCTGCATATTTTTTTTTTATTTTTTCTGTAGGAAAAAATTATTATTGCTTGTTCATTTAGCTAGACACAGTATTTACACAATAGCAAGTATTTCATTTTTTTGTACGCAAATATTTTGCCTGCTATTAATATTTAATTGGGACTGCATAAATTAACATGATTTCTTTACGTACTGTATGATAAAAAATTGAACTTAAGTATTTTTCCTTCATAAATAACTGAATGAATGTAGACAAAGTATGTAATTGGAATTATAAGATAATAATATACATATTACAGGTTTTTTTAATCGTATTCAATAAGTGAACGTGTTTTTTATAATAAACCTGAACAGTAAATAAAAACTGATGGTGTATTGTGCCAAGGAATGCAGCCACATGTCGAGCAGCAATGAGATCTGGAGCATCTTCACTTAACCCAATTGAGAATGACTTCAGCGGTAAACCACGATGACGCATTTCTCGCATTGCAATAGAGCTGAAAGTCTTGACTTTCTTTAAATATTTAAATTAATTCCTGTTCACATTAATTTTTTAAATACTTTTACTAGCAAAGTAATTTTTGCAGAATAAAGTATTTTTTTCAAAAAAACTTGCAGCTGAATATATTATTTTTTACTATCTTTCAGATTATTTCAAGCTAATTTAATGCTTGAACAACTTATCTCATAAACCGTTTATTTTATCTATTTACAAGTTTGATTTGCATACCTGATCAAGCTTGAATCAAGACCACCACTTAATAGTACTCCAATTGGAGCATCACTCATTAATCGCTTTTTCGTTGCTTCAATGAGAGATTGTCTAACCGTTACTAAATTCATGTCCATTTGAGCCTGGCGGTAGTCATACCATATAGGCTAAAAGTTAATGTTATTAAAATATGGGTTGTTTTAGTTTATTACCAAATAACTCTTAATGCTCTTGCCAGGCAGAAAAGTAACCATGTAGTAGCAAATAAAGCCGGTGCTTGGAGTCCAGAAATGTCCTGGTGGAAAAGTTGAAAGTTTGTGTTCCCCACAAACAGGTTCAATTGTTTTCATCTCTGAACTACAAATAAAAGCATTGATGAGTTTTATAAGTTTGTGGATTTTATTTAGAAAGGAAGCCAAAATTATATTATGAGTGACCTGAAAAAATGTCGTCCTTCCTTATCTTCACCATAATACAGAGGTTTAACTCCAATCGGATCACGGGCTACCAAAAATTCTTCCCCAAAAATTAATGCAAATGCAAAAATGCCATCTAGCTGGCTACAAATCATTCCACTACCTTCCTATAATGAATGAATTATCAAGCATAGAGGAATAGTTTTTAAATATTTTGCATAATGTCAAAATCATTTTTCACTTATTAATTCACAGTGTTACTAAGAAAAATACTGGTCCTTACCTTTTCATAAAGAAATATAATGACTTCAGAATCACACTGAGTTTTCATTTTGTATTCTTTTAAAACAGTTTTCCGTAGTTCTTCATGATTGTAAATTTCTCCATTGTGCACTACCTATACATGCAATCAGACACTAAAAATGTTTGCAACAGCAAAACCAATACATCAATAAAGGATTTTTTTTTTTCAAATTAACAACGCTTCAATTATACATCTAACTGGTAATACGAATAAGAATACTGCATAGTTTACCTGATGATCTTCTTGCGTTCCTTTCATTGGATGCTTGCAACTAAAATCAACGATGGATAGCCGTTCATGACATAAAATATCTCCAGTGTTCGGGTTTTCATAAAATGCGCGATCATCAGGACCGCGATGCTTTTGACGGCTAAACAAATCTTATTTACAATGGTAAAAAGTAAACGCTGATTAATAATAGTTTTTTGATTTTTAATTTTAACAAAGTTTTTGTAAACTGGAAGAAAGAAAGAAAAAAACAAAAGTGAAGATATTTTAACTATATACGCAAATAAAACTTTTATTACTACATAAAAGGAAAAAAAAAGTAAAACATTAAACATGCAATGATAATTCGATTGCATTTTGTGCTGAAAATTTTGACGGTCGACTTCCATATTTAGCACAGTGGCAAACAGCAAATATTCCACACATCTAAAATGATAATATTAGTAAAGATAGAATGAAACATTTGGCTTGTATATAACAAAAATAAATATTATTTGCACAGGTACGCTAATTAAATAAAGAATGATAGCTTGTTATTTTACAATGAACAAGTTTCAAAAGTAGTTGCAAGGATGTAACAAAAAAGTGTAATTAACAAAAAAAGTAAAGAGTTCGAGAAGAAATAGTGATATTCAAGAAATGAGGGAATAATTAATCCATTTGTGATCAATTGCAATATGCACTGTTTTATTTATAATAACAACAACATTTTTAATCAAATTTGAGTTTACATATTAATTTATACAAAACCTACATTTCATTTTGATAAAATTCAGAAAATGCAAATTTTTTCTAGGAAAGACATCGAATCCGGCAATCGGATAAAAAAATGCACAATAATGTTTGAAGTTATTTTATTAAAAAGAATATGATTCCTTTTAAAGAGCAAATTATGTGACAGAAAATTTACTTCATACTTTTTCTTATAATGTGATAGAATTGAGTGAAATTTAAAACAACATGAAACTCATGCGTTAAGTTTTTGCAAAATTCAATCAGATTGTGATAAAAGTTATAGCTAGAAAAAATTTACTTAGATGCTGTAAGATGTAAACAGGAAAATTTTGGTGCGTATTATAGTGTGAAATGATTTTTTTCTTCAAACACGCAGTGAATTAATAACCTTTGATCTATTAGCGTTATCATTTTCTGTTAGCACTCATTTACTTTTATCACTTTTTGAAAATTTTAACAAAGTTCAAAGTTTACATTTGTTGACTAGATGACCTTCTCATTTTGTGTAGCTTTTTGATTCATATCATCAGATATTATATTTTGATATTATAAAAAATCTTTCACTGAAAAATCGATATATTTTGCAAGAAAATTTCATAATGGGATTTTATACGAGTCAACAATAAAATAAGTTAAAGGACAATAAATTATTCATAAATCATTGATGGAGAAAATAAAACTAGGTGATTTACCATAAACTGCAGGCCTAATTAAGTTGTTAGTGGGGATGATATTAAATTTATTATTTAAACAGATTATAATACAGAATTTTAACTCTGAAATT